AACAACGATGGGAACCCCTGCGCATGCCATGATTCATCGATGCGATAGTAAACTGTACCGCATTTTGACTCCACAAGCTCCACTAGTCTGCACTCATGATTATACCACGTCCAATTTTAATCTTTATGCGCAAGGAACAAATTCAGTAGTTGCAGTTATCTCGTACACCGGCTATGACATGGAAGATGCCATGATCATAAACAAGTCAGCATATCAACGCGGCTTTGGTCATGGTGTTGTTTACAAAAACGTCATTGTTGATCTTGATTTGGAGGCTGACCGTCGAAGAGACCAGAGCCAAAGTGAGCCGGCAGACTTTCTCCTCTTCGGTAGCCCTCCACCGATCTCTACTCAGAAAAGTGATCAAAATGCTGGTGACCCACATCGTGATTCCAGCTATCATGTTGACTCTAGTCCAGCTACCAGTTACATCGGCGAGGACGGCTTGCCTGAAATTGGACAAAAAATTTGCCATGGAGACTCTCTTTGGTGCGCATTTTATGAGCTTTCATGCAAAAAAGTAATTGGCGTGCATAAAGATGCTGAGACTGCATATGTCGATGCTGTGCGATTTATAGGGTAAAACACCACAGTGTCGACTATAGTGTACCTTCCTTGGTTTGTATTGCAAAACATCAGGCATGCCAACAAGGGCCAGAAGTCTATCCAAAGGAAAGCAAGCATCACATTGCGCTTTCCTCGGAATCCCGTGATCGGAGATAAATTTTCTTCACGTCATGGTCAAAAAGGAGTACTCTCTGTTTTGTGGCCAGAGTGCGACATGCCATTCACCGAATCGGGGATCACTCCCGATATATTAATCAATCCACATGCGTGCGTTTTATACTCTCGGGATCTATGACAGGATCATTTGTCAGGTTTCCTTCGCGCATGACCATTGGAATGCTGGTCGAATCTATGGCTGGAAAGTCTGCATCATTGCAGGGGAACCACCAAGATGGCACACCCTTTATTTTTCATGGAGATTGCAACGCCATAGATTATTTTGGTCAGAATTACCATAAATGTCCGCACATATATTTGAATGTCACAGGTAGCCAGCTATGTGCAGCAGGTTACGAATATTTTGGGTCTGAGGCCGTCTTTAGAGCGGGGTAGTGCATTCTGATCGTTCGTCACGAGAGAGAACTTAGGTCTACTCTGGCTTTTCAGGCCTCCTGGTGCGCATGCAAATATTTATTGGGGTAGTATACTATCAACGATTGCGCCACATGGTATCCGACAAGTCGCAAGTGCGCTCAACAGGACCTGTACACCAGCTGACACATCAGCCCATTAAGGGTCGAAAACGTCATGGGGGAATCAGGCTAGGGGAGATGGAGAGGGATGCTCTCCTTGCGCATGGCGTTGCTTTCCTCCTTCATGATCGTCTAGTGTTCTGTTCAGATGGCCACCGTGCGCGTGCATGTGCAAATCAAAATTGTGGCTCATTACTGACGCCACAACGCTGTCCAACGACATTCGCGACTGGCACGGCTAGGGGCTGCGATGAAAGTTTTACCTGCTGCGAATGCGGGGGTGTGCACTTCTTTACTCTCGCAATGCCATATGTATACAGGTATCATCAACAGGCCTTCTGTCAAACCACACTTTCTGAAAGTAGGTACCTCACTAACGAGTTAGCAGGCATGAACATCAAACTCAATTTGGCGCACTTTGACTGGCAGTAGTGATAGCAAACTGAGACCTCGGCGTCTTGGGCCTCTGAAGCGGCGCCAAGTATAGGCCAAAGAGCGGCCGAAAGCTGGCTGCCCGATCACCCTTAACGGAAATCGCGATGAATGGAACCACGAAACACAGATGGGAGCAGGGCAATGGTACGCACCTCGCTTTTGGTTTTTCTAGCCCCCCAAGCGCCCAGTGGGGTGGTACTCGGGCTTTGGGTGGCCTAAGATGAGTATACTGAGAATAGGATTGAGGTAGGCATTAGTAACAGACATTAGTAAATGGAGAGTTGGGCCAGTTTATTAGCCGACTTCCTGGGGATTTTTATTCTATCTTGCAGACTGGCATCAGAGTGGCGATCGAAGCTGAGTTCACTTTCGATAGGGCCTCTAGAGGAGATTCTTTTGCTCCTGCCCCGGGCCGACAGGGCCTAGGAGGTTCTCTTTTGGGGCGAACCAAGCCCAGGAGGCTGTTGTTTGCACCTTTAATGCAATTTTGCTAGAACTTTACGGCAAATCGATTGCTGGGAGATTCTTTTGGGGGGCTGCTGAGCCAGCGGATAGTGACCTTCAGAGCCGGATCTCGACTCTGAGGTACGTGCACGATATGGAGGGAGCTGCGCATGCACCGCCGCAAGAATCGTGAACAATGCGTGACATTGAATGGCTCTCCGAATTCCGACCAGCATCAAATTCGGACCCTTTGCATATTCTAGAGTCGCGTATGACACGTTTCGACTAGCTCAAGAGACAGCCAGAAGTGCCTTCGTGTATGCAATGACGAGTTTCGTTCAAGACCTTGACCCACTGCTCAGCATCACGTGTATCGCGGGCGAGCAGCGTGTACTGATTATCTCCAACACTAACAACGAAAGTGCACGGAATTTCGCAAAGGGAGACGTCAGTTATTCTTTTCAGACTCACAGCATTGAGTCTCTTTTTCTTCAGCTCTGTTTTGTAGACGGAAAGCTGTGCGTTGGAGCATTGTTGTTATGGAGTGGAAAGCGTTCGTACCATATAATCTGTCCGTTCATCGGTAGGTGGGTCAATCTCCATCCACCGCAGAGCCCATTTTGGCTCGCTGTCACCTTTAGCAGATTTTCGTTTCAAATACCCGCGGATAAGACAAAATCCGTCGTGTGTGGAACAAACTGGCGGTTGCGGGGGAGGCCAACACGGCGTGCCACCCGACTCCGCAATAGTATCCGAGTCTTGAATGAAGCAACATAAATTTGACATAATCCTAGATACAATAGTACTATGAGAAACAAGCATGGTATGAAATGCTATGTTGGTTCCAT